GCAATTTTAAAATAATTCAATTTTAACAAATTAATAATATAATAAATTAATAATAAACATTAAAATACAAGAAAAGTAATAATTTTTTCCCCACATTGAAAAAGGTGCCGGTACGCCGTACCGGTGCATTATCGACACAAAAAAAGCTCTGTATATATATATATATATATATATATATATATATATATATATCTATATATCTATATAAAGTTCCTGGGTTTCGAAAAACGAGTTTAAAATCTCACGTTTTTATATCGTTGTTTAAATTTAGAATCCCAAATAACGCAGAAACAACGGGTTGGGGGTTGGGACTTTTTTAGGATGTCATTTTCAGTCCTCGGCAACGAAACGAAATAGTTTTTCTTTTGGAGGTGAAAAGAAAAAACGGGGACACAATTTTTTTTTCTCCTGTAACTTTTAGCGAATAATGGAAACGGGGTATATAATATATATGTTGGCTTAATTCTGTTTTTTTTTTTTTCGTTGTTGTATGTCCTCCACACGCGAGGACGACCAACTTCGACTATTGAGTAGTAGCCTTGAATTGAGCCAGTGGCGTAGCTAGGGGTGCGGGGGGGGGGGGGGGGGGAGAGGAGGTATGGACCGCAGCAGGTAACACCATCTCAGGGAGTGACACCTAATTTAAAAATTGCATTTTTTACAGAGCAAACACTGCTTGGTATAACCGAATTTCATAAAAGGATATCCGATCACACGTACATTTTCCACACACGTAACCAATGCGAACGAGTGCTTTATTAAAAATTTAAGGTTGATGGGTCAGAAATGATGCGACCCTATAATTAGGACAGAAAAACATCGTTTTGACCATGATTCAACGCAGATTGCAGAGCTCGGTAACTTTCGTGACAGGAAGCTATATTTAGGTAAAGTCTGAGAACTTACGCTTTCCATTAATACCAAGTCGGGCGATTCTAATTACATTTTATAGTTCTTAAATACATCTACCTCCTAGTTAGCGACTTTCTAGTTTTTCATAAATATACGCCATGTTATTATTATCGTGCCAGTTACTGTACTTTAAAAAATTTGTTTAAAGTCCTATTACTATTAGATCAAGCGACGCTTTATTGTGCTACAATTCATCGTTTTAAATTTCGCGGTTCACCACAAGCAAACAAAAATATATATTTTTTTGCCAGGTTGGACTTAAAGCACATCATATCATGTGACCGGTTATTACAGTATGAAAGTTAATTTAAAAAAAAAAAAAATTCAAAGAAAAAAATAATTTTAGCAGTTAAACATGTTGAATAATTTATTCATAGTTGTCGTTGGAAGTTATTTACTAAGAAATTTAAATAAAATATATTTTGAAAAATTCAAATTGGCAATGACGCAGTACAAAAAAGATCTCATGCGTATCAAGTTTAGGTTAATCAATAGAATTTTATAGTTTTTGAGAAATAAAACTAAAATTCATTCAAATGGTTCTTTTACGTTTTACCTACATCTGGTACCATGATTTACCACGAATATGGGTTAACTTTATTTACTAAATAAAATATCTTGCAATAGAACCAAGTTAGGGCTATTTATCATTATGAAACTGAGATTTTCCCCAAACTATGCCCTACTTTAATATTCCACCGTTGCGTTTCCCTATTTTCTAATTTTAGACACAGTCCACACATTAAGTCTAAGTGCATGCGTAACTGTTGTGAATGGATTTAGCCAAAGATTTGGTATGTATTAAGAAATTATAGTTATTTTTTTAAAAAAGCTTATGTTGTTATACCATTCTAGGATATTATTCGTTACAAACAACGCACTCCTATTTTATATCAGTT